AAGGAAGATGGACTGTTGGCCCTGCTGACAGGATTAGATGCTCACTAGCAGTAGGATGAGAAAGACGACATGCCTAAAGCTTTTGACAGATGCTTCTTCAAGGTGATGCGCAAACCTGGACCGCCCCCACCAGTGTATGCACTGATTTCAACCAGGTACTTCGTGCTATTCAAGTTCAAGATTGACCTTCCTCCTGAGGTCAGCGGTTGGCTCATGTTGAGACGTGCCGCATTGACAACAAAGCTACAAGTGATGGTGCAGACACACAGGTTGGGACAAAGCCGAGCCTGCATTGTATTTGCTGTTTGGACAGGATCACCGTCATGCCGCTCAACGCGGGATTCCGGGAAGCTGAAAATGATACCGAGACCTGGCTTGAAGACGACTACTGTCTTGTTGGTTCGTCATCTTTACTATGCCACTTTTTTCACCCTCATGTGGAGAAGGCAAGGAAAAGGAAAGAAACGAAAGTCCGGCATCATTGCTGGGCATGTGAGAACACGTTCCATCTTGCGGAGGCACCACTACCAGCTGACATTGATTCCTCACGCAAGATATGATTAGAGGACAGGTTGGCTTTTAATCAAGGCAAGAAGTCAGAACTGTCCTGCATTAAGGAAAAAGGAATATGGCAGAGAAGATCAAATCATGGAAGAGTGATGCGAGTTTGATACGTGCTCAAGTGGCGCACGGATGCATCAGGAAACCCAAAACCAAAAACAGGACCTCAAGGAGCCTTAGAAATCAGCAGCGCTACATTGTCCCGAAGCAGTGGACAGGTTTTTTTGGCCATCTCTGTCAAGAAAGGCTGGAGCAAGTTCACGGCAGATGTCTGTGTTTGTTGGCGATTTCTGATGCGGCATGGAGTGTCAGGACAGATCACTTGAGGCAAGTTGGGTCTTCATTTGCTTGAGGGAGAAACATTGGGGTTCGTCAAGTTGCCCCGTGTATCCCGACCTGAACATTCAGGAAGGTGGGTTTTGTCGGAGGTGGGTTTTATCGGAGGTTCAGCTGTCCGCGGGCTCAGAAAGAAACAGGCAAGGCAATTGTTGGCAGATCACTTGAGATCACATCAGATTTCGCTTTCAGCTAACAGCACATTTCAAGCAGCAAAGCGCAAGACAGTGCAAGAAAGGAAAGACAATGCAAGAAGAAATGCAATCAGTGTGAAGAAAAGTCTGACCATGATGACCATTGCAAATGAGTTCAAACCAGCAATGGCACAGAACAAAGAGCAAGATGTGATTTGTTGGGATTTTGCATTGTTGGTGATGGTTACATTGTTATGCATTGGTCTTTTTCACATCATTGGTTGGCAAGCATGTTGGCGCCTTTGACGACCGAGGCTGAAGCACAGACTGACGAACCACCACTCCCTGCATTGCCGAGAAGAGAGGAGAGTGCAGATCGATATTAGGCAAGGATTGCGCAACACAAAGAGTTCATCAAAAGAGGAAATGAAGCCATGGACTAAGTGAGGTACGAAAGGAATTGTTGGAGACCAGATGTCAACAGCTCAAGGAAGAGATTGGGATGAGAGACCACCGAGACATTTACATGGAAGAAAGGTTAGATGAGCAACAACGCATCATCCGTGAGCTGGAAACATCGCTAGCAGAAGTGGCACAGCATGCAGCTTACATCCCGAACCACATCGGGGGCATCCCACAAAGAGCATTCACAGCAAGAACAGGCACGTGCTATCACTGCTATCACCTGGAGTCAACATGCACTGCACTACAACAATCACATGATGTGAAAGAATGGTTGGTGTGCTGTTTCCTCGGGTGGAACCGGATGATTCCATATTTGAATGTGCTGGTAGCATTCGTCCAGAAAGAGACTTTTGTTTGGTGCAGAGCACCACCGGTGTTAGTTTTGTGCCACAAACCTGGCATTTACTTCCACCGCGCTTGGCACTTGGTTCGAACTCGCCCGAAATAGGGGCCTTGAGTCACCACATGAGGCCACGTCAAAAGAAGCGTTTGCGTTGCACGCTTTTCCCCCCTTCATGTCAACCCAGTGACTTCGAGCGCACGGGTTCCTGAACTTGGTGTTTCCACCTTATTTTTTCTAATGAATAAATAAATACCTATTCCTTAAAGTGGACAAAAATATTACTTGAAAAAAATATTCCGCCGAACAATTACGTACGTATTCCATAATTCGGAAAAAAAATCGCAACAATATTTTCGAAGTCAAATCTTACTCTACGTAATACGTAAATATAAAATACATTAAAAAAGACGCGAACAAATACAAAAAAAAAACGTAAAAGAAGTCGGAAAATTTACATATTTAATAGCTATAGTTTCGATTAAGTAAATGTGTACGAGTAGGGACGCAAAACGAAGAAGGATTATAACGTAAAAAAGTGAAATAAAATATCCTTTCCCGCGAAGCGAATTCGCAATAATAATATTGCGATAAAAAAGGCCGTTAAAAATTAAACATCATTATTTTTCCATTATATTCTTTTCATAAATAAAATTCCCCCTATTTCCCTTTTATTTCGAGTTCGTATAAAAAAAACCGATAAAGAAAAACGTCCTTTTACTTAGGGCCATGCATCTACTACTTACGCCAAAATATTTTCAATACGTACGCCTACTTCTGTTTCTTGCGGCATCATATTTTCACGATACGCGGCCGCTACAGAGCCAACATAACACCCCGAAATCCGCTACTTAAACCATGCTTCTTAAATCACCTAATATCATCTATTTTTCCGTCTTCCGGCATTATATTTCTACCTTTCTCTATCGCTATAGAACCGAGCTATACAACAACGTAACACCCCCACGTCATTATGGTAAAAGGGTTGGAACAACGTACTAGATAGATATTATTTATATAAATGGTCCGAAGGATATAGGAAAAATTAGGGATTAGAAAAAGGCGTTCGGGGATAAGAAAAAAAGGGTCGGAAATAAAAAAAAGGTCGATGGATCGACACTGCAAAAAAGCATCTCACGAGTCAAAGGAAAAATGATTTCGCCACCGTTCTCCACATCATTCAAGTATACGAGCAGCGTAGCAGGTCGCGCTCGACCAACTTCTGGTCCAGAATCATGATGCATTTCAAATCCTGACTATATATCAATTGGATAAAAAGCATGCCGTTTGTTACCAAAGCAACGGCGATCTAACCGTGTTTCTACCGAACGCCGCGTCATCTTCCAGGACTAATACAAAAAATGGTTCGTGTCCAAAGCGTATTATAATATCTGATAAATATCTTTTTCCTTCCTAATTTCTGGCAATCTAGAGCTTCTTCCCCAACCTCTCAGGAATCTTGGTTTCATGATACATGCGAGCTATCACCCTCTACAAAAGAAACGTCTTCAACTCATCCTTTCGTTCCACATACATGTAGCTATTGCCTTAGCATACCCAAGAGATTAAGAATTATTTTTTTTTCATTTCTTAAAAGAATTATATTAGAGGCGGCTTATATATTTAACAAATACAATTTCGGAAAGATAAATATCTACGAATGCGCACGCAAAACGGAGAAGAAATACACCTTAAAAAAACAGAAGGGGATGCGGAGGAGGTGTTACATGTAAAGCGAGCGAAGCGAATCCCCAACGACGGCATATTAATAAAAATATTCGTTCAAGAAAAAATAACGACGTATAAATTACCATTATCGAAAGGAATTTAAATTGCTATTATTATTATTAGGAAATTTATTTAAAAATAAATAAAACTAAAACGGGCCTTAGAAAAGGACGCAACGTCTCCCCCCAAAGTCAAAAAAAATACTTGCTTCGTTTATATTTATTTTTAAATTTATTATTATTATAATAATAGTTAAATAAATACCTATTCCTTAAATCGAGCAAAAATATTGCTTTAAAAAATTATTCCGCCGAATAATTACATATATATTCCATAATTCGGAAAAAAATCGCAATAATATTTTCGAAATCAAAGCAAAAATGCTTATTTTACATAATACAAAAATATAAAATACATTAAAAAAGACGCGAATAAATACAAAAAAAAACGTAAAAAAAGTCCGAAAATTTACATATTTAATAATTATAATTTCGATGAAATAAATGTATATGAGTGCGGACGTAAAATGAAAAAAAAAAAAAAAAAAAAACGTAAAAAAAACAAAAAAAAATATCCTCCCCAGCGAAGCGAGTTCGCAATAATAATATTACGATAAAAAAGGGCGTAAAAAATTAAACATCATTATTTTTCCATTATATTCTTTTCATAAATAAAATTCTCCCTATTTCCCTTTTATTTCGAGTTCGTATAAAAAAAACCGATAAAGAAAAACGTCCTTTTACTTGGGGCCATGCATCTACTACTTACGCCAAAATATTTTCAATACGTACGCCTACTTCTGTTTCTTGCGGCATCATATTTTCACGATATGCGGCCGCGACAGAGCCAACATAACACACCGAAATCCGCGACTTAAACCATACTTCTTAAGTCACCTAATACCATCTATTTTTCCGTCGTCCGGCATTATATTTCTACCATACACTACCGCTATAGAACCGAGCTATACAACGACGTAACACCCCCACGTCATTATGGTAAATAAATTAAAACAACGTGCTAAATAGACATTATATAAGTGGTCCGAAGGGCATAGACACTCGCAAGTAAGGATCAAGGATTAAAAAAGAAAAATTAGGGATTAGAAAAAGGCGTTCGGGAATAAGAAAAAAAGGGTCGAGGGAGTTTAAAAGAAAAAGTCAAAAGGGTTAAACACAATTGTTTTGAAGGAGGTTTAAAAAGGGTCGGAGGATTAAAAGAAAATGGGAGGTTGAAAAAAGAGGTTGGGGGGTTATAAGAAAGGGGATCCCAAAATACATTAATTATATAATATCAAGAAATATATGTCAATACACATAACTGAAAACCTCTTCCAAAATATATATCATTGAAAGAAGACTAGTTGGGCCAAAACTTTAGCCTCCATATACAATTTAGATTCCAATGCATCACGCTTCACGGGAACCTTGCAATGGAGCCAACCTGCACTACAGAATGCCGTGTTGCTTGAACGAAAGTGCATCGGTGATAGAGTCTCTCGCCAGTGCCTTGATGGAAGGGTTTTGTTCTGAATGCCGAGCGGTGACCAGTGCCTTCATGTATGTATATATTATTTATCTATGATGTCCCACTCAATAGTTCTACAAATCAGTCTTCTCAAATTGAAACCATCGTTGTGCCACCCATTTCTGGCCAGCAAGCACGGGGCAAGACGCATGCACTGCCCGTGCGTCCTTCTTGCCATCCAAATGATTGAAGAATAGCACAGCTCGTCCTAGTCAAGAATGGCCCCAGGCGAGTTTGCAAGGCGTGTGCATAAACAGCTAGAATTCATTTGATCTGTTTTTGGGTGGGAAGAGTAGACCAAATTTGGAGTGGTTGGTGGTCCAACAATAGAGGCCACTCAGGTTAATCAATGCATCGCCTTGACGGGCTTGAATGGTCAACAGTTCTGGTGGTTGCACATGGCAGCAATGATCAACTCCATAACGCACTTGGTCGCCCTGGTGATGGATGGGTCGACACTGCAAAAGCACCTCACGAGTCAAAGGAAAAACGGTTTCGCCACCTTTCTCCACATCATTCAAGTATACGAGCAGCGTAGCAGGTCGCGCTCGACCAACTTCTGGTCCAGAGTCATGATGCATTTCATATCCTGACTGCATGCCAGTTGGGCAAAAAGCATGCCGCTTGTTGCCAAAAGCAGCGGCCATCTGACCGTGTTTCTACCGGACGCGGCGTCATCTTCCAGGACTAATACAAAAAATGGTTCGTGTCCAAAGCGTATTGTGATATCTGACAAGCATCTTTCTCCTTCCTGATATCTGGCAATCTGGAGCTTCTCCCCCAGCCTCTCAGGAATCTTGGCTGCATGGTGCATGCGAGCTATCACCCTCTGCAAAAGGGACGACTTCAGCTCATCCTCTCGTTCCACATACATGTGGCTATTGCCTTAGCATGCCCAAGGGACTGAGAACCGTTTCTCCATTTCTTAGAAGAAACATGCTGGGGGCGGCTTGTGAGAAAAATTAAGCGAATGCATCTTTTAAAGAATTGGCCAGGGTATGAACATTTCCGTTTCAAACATACTCTCAAAGAAAATGGCTGGATTTGTTCCTCAAAGGCGTCAGAAAAAAAACATTATTGACCGATGGCAAAGTCACTGCGCACCTGATCATCTCGCTGAAAGGCATCCTGAGCAGTGTTGGTGTGGCTTGCTTATGGCCTCCAGGCGAGTATCCAAAACAAAAAATACTAGTCCCAGTTCTCTGTCCTCTTTCTCTCTCAACAAAATTCTGACAAGCCTGCTCTCATCTCAACCTTTGGTTCTTCACCCATGCCACACTGACCCATCTATTCTTGAGGCGCACACCTTGCGATGCCCTGAATAGACCAGCGCCTCCTGCATGCGCCCACTCTCCAGTGCTATCTGCATGAGCTCTTCACACTCCTCCTTCGAGAAGAACTTCTCGTGCACCAATACAAGCGGACTTTCCGAGACACGGCGCCAGCCGACTTCGCCCTGCCCAGTGCTAGCACTGAGCGGGATAGCAGCTGAGAGGACGAGATGAACATGAGACAGTCCAATCAGGCACCAAAGGAGCATATAGAAGTGAGGCTGAGAAGAACATACGATATTTCTGATTCTCTTCCAGCTTTCATGAAGCCATGCTATATCTGCTTAAAGACCGAAGTGACAAAGCATATCAAATATTGATCCCTCTACTCCTGATCATAGTTATCAACAAATCGATAGATTGCCCTCATCATGCACAAGCTTGAGCCAAAGGTGTTGAACTTCTCTCTATTTGAAAGGAACAGCTTTGCGAGCACAACCGGTTCAAAAATGGGCGCACGCTGCCCCAACAGCCCTGTAAACAAAGTGCAAGGGTTTGGGGTCTTTCTCTTTGGAGGGGTCATGACTGGGCCAATAGTGCCCTGCTGAAGTTGAAGCAAACCCTTCAACTGTCTTGCAGGACAACGGACAACAAGCCTCCTCCAGACTCGACCCAGCGACATTGGACCAAAACACCAGTTTTTGATGATCGATGACAGCAGTTCAGTGGAGGAAAGCTCTCATACCGAAGGGGTCGATCCAGGATGACACGCGTTTACAAAGAGAAAGCTTTTTGAGAATTGAGTTGGGAAGGATGGATGAGTGACAAACATAGGAGATTGGGCAAAAAACGAGACTTGGGAAGTCAATAACTCAAAAGGATGGGGACATCACAACAGATTGAGCTCCTATAGAAACAAAGTAAATGCACGCATGGGCATTGTAAAGAGCCTTTTTGAGAAGGGGGGGTTGCTCTTGTGTAGGATGATCAATTTCACAAAGGAAAGGCCTTGTGCAAAGGAGAAGGCTCCTGTAATTAAGAATGCAGTGGAACAAGACCAAGGATGACCCCCTCACAAAGGACTAGCACTGTCGTAGAGGATGAAGCATCCACAAAGGAAGTAGGTTTTGCAGGAGGGAGCCCTTACTTCCCAAGGAAAGGAAGGAAGGAAGGAAGGAAGGAAGGGGAGTTTTGGCAAAGAACAACATTTATGGATGATGACGGCTGCTTGTTTGGCAGAAAGCTTTTTGCAAAGGAGATGTTTAGGAATGCATATATGTGTGCAATACATCCAGACTTTGGATAAGGGAGAACACTTGTGTGAGGGGGGAGGTTCAGCCGAGGATCGAATGTTTGTAAGGTAGAGGGGCAGGTTTGGAGAAACATGAGGCATTTCGGTGGATAAAGCTAGCCCCGAACAGGGGGGTCCAAAGCCTAAAAAGCAATAAACTAACTAGCACTAGTAATAGTACACACACACAGATATATATATATATATATATTAAACAACCCCTGCCACATCCCAAACGACAAAACCTTCAGGTTGAGGCAGGATTTGTCTGACATGCATGTTGTTGATTAATTTTTAGGTCCTTTTCCATTGTGCTTATTGAACTGGTCTATCCCTCAAACATGTGTGCCTCAAAGCGTAAAAACACAATGTGTTCGCCAAAAAGCCTTTTTCGCCCTGACCCTCAAAGGAGTGCATTGACACTCACTCAAACTAACATGGAAGTGGAGGTTCTGGCCTCTTGGAAGACCATGAAATCCTCTACAAACAGGGTGTGTTTTCCACTTCGTTAGTTTTTCGGGAGTGTAAGTCTTGCTTCATGCTTTTGGTGGCCCGTTTTTGGTCCTTCCGGGTCGGTGGGGCCATCCAAAGGTGGTCTGTCCACGCGGTTTTGCTCGGTTTTCGAGGAACACCTCCTTGGAGAATCAGGTAAAAGAAAGAACTCCTCCTTGAACCCTGGCAGCACCTACTGTTAAGTTTCACAATCAGTTCTTTGCCCACCTCCTTCCCTGATTTGAGAAGCGCTAAATGCATCTAACTGCTGATGCATGCTTCTTTGGTTGGACTGGGAAATGGGAAACAACACGCAAACTTCAAGCTGTTAGCAATGCTGGTCAGTAAGCAGCATACTCCCAGTCAAAGGTGCCATCGCGGATCACTGAAACCTTTTTTAACCCATCTGCCGCGAAGGCGTCCTTCCGCTTGGTCTTGGTTCTCCCGTTTTCTCTGGCAAATGCACATGCATAGAGCGCCAAGGACCAGCACAAGGGGCAACGCACACAGCGCGATGCCTCCATACAGTGTCATTCGGCCACAGGAGGAGAAGCGGTCGATGGTGCGGACGGCGGGATCTTCGGTGAGTCGTGAACCCAGATGTGAAGGTGAACGAAAGCCAACCACGTATGTCAAGGCTGTCAGGATGTTCCGAACATGTTCGTTCCAGCCTTGGCTCTCCTGGCAGAAGTGTACACAATCCTGGGGGCCCCAGTGAAAGTTTCCCCACTCGCGCAGGACCTCGTGGGTGTGTAAAAATTGCACTTGTGGAAGGATGATTGGTAGGATGCTCTTGGCCACAAGGTTCCGCCAGTAAAACTGTGGAAGGCTGGCGTTCCCTTCAAAGGGGCCACAGGTCATACCTTTGAAGTAAAAACCTTTCGGCTGATGAATTGGAGTGGTATCAATCCACACCAAGTGTTTAGGCAACTGTTTTTCTTGAAGCAAGGCTTCAGCTAGGCTAATGAGGCTAAAAGCATATTCCACTTCTGTGGCTGCCCCGCCCTTCCGGCACTGCACCCGTGGTGGCCTCTCCATCAATCGCCGCGCTGGCGGCTTCTGCTCACAGGGCGAGGCAACGAAGCCCCACGCATGCAGCTGTTGACGCATCCAATGTACACGGTCCATTCCCTTCAGAGATGGACTGTGTGGCACAGTCAAGGTGGAGAGCAGTTGGACGAAATCTCCGAGCGAAGAACCTGTCTGATTGGCATTGTACCATGCCCCAATGTTCATCAACAAAATATCCTTGGGCTCGAAGGTAAATTTTTCAATGGCCTCTGTAAAAGGCTTAGACCCACAAGTGTTGCACATAGGCATATAAGCCATGCCACAATGAAGCTCATGGTCTTCAACTCTTCGTTCCCAGCCCAGCCACACTCGCAAGGCATCAAGTGCCCAATTGTTGGTCTCGTAGCGGAATTCCCAACCCAAGGAGCACTTCAGGCTGGTTATGGCAGAAAGCAATGAGAAGCCCTCTCTTCCATAGAAAGCCTCATAAAGAAGGACGCGCCTTCTCACCCAGCGAATGCTGTCAAAGAGTTCGCGCGTCACACTGTCTCCCATGAAATGTAGATTTCGACGACCAAGGCTGATGAGAGCATCTTCGGGTTCCAGGATGTGGCACCCCGACCTCCGGACGTAGCTGCCGAAGATCGGCTGGCCTAAGCCGCAGTTGTGCCACAAATCCTGCATAGGGAGTAGCCTGGGGGAACTGCCGGGCGCCAAGGGCGTCCACCATCCTTCAGTGTCATGTCTGGAGCCATTGCAAAGCCGCCCTCTGTCGGTGAGTTCGGTGGAAAGCGTCTGATTCAAACGGATGGTGGCCGGCACTTCGGGCATCTCCAGCCACTTCACCGAGAACATCGCCACAGCGGCCACGAAAACCAAGAGGGTGGAGCGCGACATGGCCAGTGCAAAACAGAACCTGCACTGAAAAGCACCTCAGACACAACGGGTCTTTGACATTAATACACATCTGCAAACCACTTGAGAACGAAAACCGGTCTGATCCCATTGGATTTTTCGGGGAATGTGACCGAAAACCATCGGTCTTCAGCCCCGTGGCTTGCCGAAGACGGTCCTTTGGCACCGGTGTCCCGGAAAAAGCATCGCCGGATCACCATGTTCATCGGTCCCAAAAAGAACAATTAGAGGACCGGATCACCCCACGTGTAGCCAAACGTCATATAACAAGCCAAAACGACCAGAATTCAGCAAAACGACGTCCTTTCAGTTCCAAGAATCTGAAGAATCCTTTCCGTCTTGCTTGGACCCGGACCATAGCTTTCGACTGCAGATTTCTGCCGACTTTCTCACCGATCTGCCAAATGGCTTCAGTAAAAGCTCTGTGCCTTTCCACGCACGTGGACTGAAGTCGGCTGTTGAGAGAGGGGAAACAGGGGCGGAAGTCGTTCATTTTTCAGGATCACTCACTTTCTCAATGGGATCAATTCAAGCTCAAAGGGGTCATACCCAGCAAATCAACAAAGTTCAGTCCATCCAATGATATATATATATATAGCTTGAGCTTGTGTTGGCACAAAGCTTAGCTTTTTACCCCCAGCTTGACAAAAGATTGCACCACCAAACGCGTTTTCTGGAAGCAAGTGGCCAGTCAGTTTAGACTGCATGCTTTTGGTGTTGTTACAGCGAATGGGCTCGCACGTTTTCCCACTTGGAAAGAGTCTCTTTAATCTATGCAGGAGCCAAAGCTCTTGCTGAGACCAGCTGAGCAGTAAGGCCGAACCGGGTGGCTGGAAAGGCCAATCAAAAGGAGTCGCTTTACAGATATGTGCGCAGCGGTCGCCAACGAAGTGTGAATTCGTCCGGGAGTGCCGGAGAGTGCACTGTAGAAAAACCATCCAATTGAATGGGGTGAGTCTCCCATTAGTTAGGGCATTTGAGAAGATCCAGTTAGGTTCTGTGATCAGCTTTCTTGAACACTTCGGCCACTTCCCAAGGGTCTTCCCCTGTAGTGTCGAGCTGCAGTGGACGGCATGTGTTGCAAAAATTTCATGCAGTGCCTGCAGCGGAAAACATACTATAAACCATGCCTCGCAGTTTTGCTGGGCATTCTGGAAGAGGGCAGCAGTGGCACCTATGCAGCCAAAGAGGCCCTGGAAGTTGCCGAAACGGCGCACCGAGAGGGCACCAACCTGCGTGATTTGTCAATCGTGGCCCTTTGACAAGCCAAAACTGCCACAGGAAGTCGGCGCACTTGATGCACTTCCTTGTGGTTGGCCAACCCCGAACGTAACATGTCACTATGCACCACGACCTTGCATCACTCATCCTTGAACGCGAATCGAAAAACAACTGAAACAACTTCAAGTATATGCAGGGTTGGGCCCAACCACCAAGCTAGGCAAAGCTGTGCAATAAGGCAACACGGGTGGCAGTGGTCTGCCAAGCAAAAGTGATGCTTATTGCCTCACGTGCTCATCACATAGCTTCGTGTGAGGACAGTGAGCTATCCTGAATTAATTAACATGTCGACGAGACCTTTGTACATGAGGCGCTGTGAGGCGCTGAACAGGCGTCACTGTGTTGTACAGTGTGTCACACCTCCACCTCGCCCACTTTGCCTTCTCCAGCGCTGTTCTCGGAGGGCAACTCCTGCAGGTCGCTGCCCCGGCATATCCTCCCCCACCCCCTGCCTCATGTTCCAAACGAAATTGTGTTCCCTTTTGCTCAGCTTATGGAGCAGTCATCCATACAGTCACTTTCATTGTGCGTCCCGAGTGCGCAAGAGTCAAGCACCTCAAAACCAAGCCAGTCAGGGAAGCCGGCATTTCACTCATAAGCCCCCCCTCAAGCCTTCATCCGCTTCCAGTTTTCGGCCAAGCTTGGATTCTTCCTTGTGTTCGAAACCCACAACAAGGTTTTCACAGGTCTCGTCAGTGACCATCCCACACCAGCCGCCACCCAGGCTTGGGGGTCGGCTTAATGAAAGGCGGCTATCTGGAGTGGTTCACATATCAGAGGCAAACCCGTTCGCTTGCGAATCGCTGCAAATGCGGAGCTCAGCTGTCCTGTGCCTCCTTCTGCCCTGTCCCCACGTAGCTTGGAAGTAATAGGACGCAAGTGATTTGCATCAATGAAAGCGCCGCCTGAAATCGACCGACAAGAAAAAAAGGTTATCTACTGGGCCTCTTGTGGAGAAAAGACATGATTTCTCATTTCAGTGCGTGCTGGTCAAAGCGGAAGGGCGACACATTTTTTGACGGGTGACTTTTTTCCCTTCAGCTTTTCGAATCCGCTCTAGCGACCCAAAGGATGGGTCCCTGGTTTCTATAAAACGTGGTGGTTTTGGATGGGCAAAAGGTGTGGTTAGAGGCAAAAGTAAGGTCAGAATGATGAGATGCGAAACATGAGATGTCACGAGCCACGCTTAAGACTCTTAAGACCAAGGGGCTAAGATGCAGAAGACCATAGCATGCCCACCCCACCCCCAGGTCTGAAGGGACCAAGCGAACAAGGAGGAAAAGGCCACTGGTCCAATCGCTTTCCTCAGGACAGGAGGGAGCGTGAGAATCCGCGTGGTGCAGTCATTGAGACCAGCCGGAATGTCTTCAGACCGATGGGGTGCAAATCGGCTTGCGAATTGCTTGGTGAGACCTCACTAGGAGGAGGACTAGTAGGTTGGTGGCCATTCCCTAGGCTTCCAACAACCATTAACTTTATAGGCTTTACCGAATCAACTAAGGATTTTACACGACAAAAACCAGGTCGTTCCCATTTTTTGAATGGTCGAACGGAAGTCGAACGGGCATTGCTACTAGTTGGAGGCCACCTCTAGACATCTCTAGACCTTCCTTACTTCCGTTCGTGCAAAGCCTGTAGATCCTCCGGTCGCCGGGTGATTTCTACTCACATCAAGTGGGCAAAAACAGGATCAGGTTGCTTGGTGGTACTTGGATGTTACCCTAGAGCAAGTTGACGTCACTTCTTCACTCAGGTTCGAACCCTAAACCTGCAATGAAACCCTGCAACAGGACGTGAACCCCAAGCACTTGCAGCTTGCAGCTTGCAGCGGGTTTTCCACAAACCCACCAATTTCCATGTGCACCTTCCGTTCGCTTCAACGGTGAACGTTCCCAGCGTCCCCACCGTCTCGGAGGTCACGGCAAAGCCATTGGCCACCACGCGGTGCTCGGGCCCGGCCGCGTTGTTCGTGAAGGCCAGGTTCAAGGCGTTCTGCGAGACCTCGCGGAACGACGAGTTCGGCCGACGGAACGACGAACGGCCGACGAAACAGGTCGAAAGCAAACGGGAGGGTCCGAAGTGAAAAGCCATCTGGAGAAACGACACACCATGCGCTTCGTTTCCGTGGTGGTGCGCGTGAAAGAGTGACAAACCTGTGGTGCTCCATCACAGCCCAGTGCCCACCCAACCCTCCGGCGGTTTTGATGTGAAGCTGCCAGGGCAGAGGCGCAAATGAGGTGCAAGACATTCGCCATCGCCACGCTGGTGGAGAAGGGCAACAGCACCGCCGTCACCGCGGCAATGCCGCTGGTCAAAATGGAGAACGCACCTGCTCCGGTGGAAGAAATGAGAATGAAAGAAGAATCACCAACCCATTCACTCACTTCAACCTTCTTCTCACTGTGAAGTCCAGTCCATTCACTGGGGATTACTTGGGGTGGGGCGATCGTAACCATTGAACACGAAAGGGCAAACTTCGCGACACCTTGTGATGGCTTCTTCTCCTGCACACTTTTCTCCACCAGCGTTGATCATGGATCACTTCCCTCCATCAACTTGATCCCTACTCCTGAAGCTATCCCCGTCCAAATTTCTGGTCAATCCACAGGTTGGAAAGATGTAGCTTGACCGGGCTCAAACATGCTCAAACTTTTCAATTCTTCTCTACTCCTTGGGGCTTGGGTGCGTGACCGTCGGGAGAACCGCTGCTTTCACCCAGTGAGTTTGACACCAAACCCGATGACAAGTGCTAGTGGCCAAAGCGGTCATCCGGTGGATTGATCCACTTGTGTGGGTAGACGTCTAACATCAAGCGACGGTCAAACGCAACCAGCTGCAGTCCGTAAAACCAGCTTTGTCTGCTTCCAAAGAACGGGTTCCAAGCATCTTGCTGCACTTGGGCAAGATCCACATGAAGTAGACAATGTTCCAAATGCCAGATCTGCACAAGAGTGAACCAACCGACTTCTCGGTCATGGCCAAACCTCCGACCTCCTTGTCCGCGATCAGCCACAAGGGCACCGCTTCGTACATGGCGAACGTGGCGAAGCCGCTGGCGAAGCGCATGGCGATGATCAGCGGGATGGGCCAGCGGAAGAGCACCGAACGACTCGAGGAGTCGATGGAGGTGGAGGAATCTTCGGATTCCACCTCCTTCACCTGCTGAATCTTCGGGAAGGACTGAGAGGCGTTCCATTCTTGGTTGGCCTTTCAAATAAAAATTTGGCAACTCATCCAGACTAAAATCTATTTCAAGATTTACACACCAGAATGATACTTTGAGGGCCTTTCGGCTACATCTGGTTCAGCAAATGTCACACAGCTGGAAACCCACATTTTGAGCAAATATCCCTCACGGAGTGTCCATTGAAAGGCAGCCGACCTGCAAGGCACCAAAAAAGGCATTGAGGATCACGAAAAGGTATGGCTCTTGGGCCCACATTCTTCCCAAAACGCATCCTAGGAGCAAGAACGCTACTAGGGGCTCCTGGCATCGCCACTAGGAACAAGAAGCTATGAACGGAGCTCCTCACGGAGCTCTTCCTGTCGCCGCACCTTGGGCTCGGGTTTGGAGAAGGCTGGATGCACCACGAGGAACAACACCACGGCCACGAGAGCCAAAGCGCATCCGATCAAGCTCGGGATCAACGCTGGGAACTCCTCCAGTAGACCATAGGTCCAACCTCCCACCTTGGTAGCGGAAGGTAATCGGTGAAGCCTGGCATCGGAGCCATGCGGGAGCTGATATATAGCTCAATACTTTGAACGGCATGGAATAGTTTCGAACTTTCGCGTATTAGAAACAAGTGCCACGCTAGTAATGTTGACCTTTGATTTATAAACGCCCCTAGAATAATGTCACTTTTTTCCTGCACAGATTTATAAAGGCCCCCAGAATAATTTTTTTTTTTTTTTGGGAGGGGTAGTTGTAGTGGGATATTTTTTATTGTTATAGTTATCTTTTTCCCTTTTGAGTTTGCTGGGATTTGCTTATCTTACAGGCTTTTGGATGGATATTTCTATTAAACAGTTGGAGATTTCCATTGAGATTTGATGCTTTTGGAGGCTTTTGGATGGAGATTTCTATTCAAAAGTTGGAGATTTCCATTGAGATTTGATGCTTTTGGAGGCTTTTGGATGG